ATGCTAGCCATCCTTGTGGGTGTGAAGTGGTATCTCATTGTGGTTTTGATTTGCATTTCCCTGATGACTAATAATGTCAAGCATTTTTCATGTGTTTGTTGGCTATTTGCATATAGTGTAAGGTAAGGGTCCAATTTCATTCTTTGTCATGTGCCTAGCAAATTTTCCAGGACCATTTATTGAAAGAACAGCCCTTTCCTCATTGAATCATCTTGCCACCCATGTCAAAAACCACTTGAATATAGGTGTATGGGTTTATTTCTGGACTCTCCATTCTAGTCTCTTGATCTATATGTCTATCCATATTCTAGTGCCACATTATTTTGATTACCATGATTTTGTAGTAATTTCAACACAATGTTGAATAAAGGGCTGAAAGAAAGCATCCTTGTTCTATGCTTATCTTAGGGGAAAAACTTTTAGTCTTTTACCACTGAATATAATGTTATCAGTGAGTTATTCATAAGTGGACTTTATCATGTTTAGCAGTTTCTTTCTGCTCCTAGTTTGTTGTGTTTTCATCATGAAAGGGTATTGGACTTTGTAAAATACTTTTTCTGCATTAATTGAGATGGCGAGATGATCATGATTTCATCCGCCTTGATTCTTAATGTACATTGATAGATTTTTTAATGATGGGTGACTCTTATTTCTAGGATAAATCCCACTTTGGTTAAGGTATATAATCCTTTTAATATGCTGTATTTGGTTTGATAACATTTTGTTGAGGATTTTTCTCATATATATTCATAAGAGATACGGGTTTGTAGTTTTCTTGTGATGTCTTTGTCTGGCTTTTGTATCACTTCACACCCACTAGGATGAATAGCATCAAAAAGTCAGATAATACTGGAAGGTTTGAAAATAATTTTCATTAATTCTTTTAAGTGTTTTGTAGAATTTGCCAGTTAAGCCATCTGGTTCTGAGTTTTTCTTTGATGGGAGGTTTTTGCTTACTGATTTAGTCTATTCGTTATAACTCTGTTATAGGACTGTTCTGTTTCTTTTTGAATCAGTTTCGGAGGTTTGTGTGCTTCTAGGAATTTATCCATTTTCTAGGTTATCTAATTTGTTGGTATATAATTGTTCATCGTATCCTTATAATCTTTTTCATCTGTAGTTCTGTATTAATGTCCCCACCATCGTACAGTTAACCTTTGAATAACATGGGGTTTAGGGGCAACTACCCACCCCCCATGCAGTTGGAAATCCATATATAACTTTTCACTCCTCCAATATGTAACTAATAGCCTTCTGTTGACTAGAAGCCTTACCAATAACAGTTGATTAACACGTTTTGTATGTTGCATGTGTTATATACTATGTTCTTAAAGTAAGCTAGACAAAAGAAAGTGTTACTAAGAAAATCATAGTGAAAATACATTTACAGTAGTGTACTGTATTTGTTGAAAAAAATCTGCGTATAAGTGGACCCATGCAGTTCAAACCCATGTTGTTCAAGAGTCAACTGTGTATGATTTTAGTAATTTGGGTCTTTGTTTCTTGGTCAGTCTAGTTAAAGGTGTGTGAATGTTGTTGATCTTTCAAAGAAACAACTTTTGGTTTTGTTGATAATTTCCATTGTCCTTCTCTATTTTGTTTATTTCCACTCAAATCTTTATCATCTCCTTCCTTCTGCTAACTCTGGGTTTAGTTTTCATGTCTTTCTAGTTGCTTAAGGAGTAAAGTTAGGTAATTGCTTGCAATATTGCTTCTTTTTTTTTAAATGGAGGCGTTTACAACTCTAAATTTCCATCCATACACTGCCTTTGCTGTATCCCATCAGTTTTGGTATGGTGTGTTTATTTCATTTGTCTCCAAGTATTTTTACTTACCTTGTGATTTCTTCTTTTACCCATTGGTTAATAGTGTCCTGTTTAATTTTTACATATTTGTGGACTTTCCAGTTTTTCTTCTCATTAATTTCCAATTTCATTTCCTTGTGGTTGGAGAACATAGTTTATATGATGTCAGTTTTTTAAAATGTACTGATACTTGTTTTGTAGCCTAAAATATGGTACATCCTGAAGAATGTTCCATGTGAACTTGAAAAAAGTGAGTATTGTGCTGTTGCTGGGTGTGGTGTCCTATATGTCTGTTAGGTCTAGTTTAAGTGTTAATCAAGTTACTTCCTTACTGACTTTATGTCTCTATGTTCAGTCCATTATGTAAAGTATCTGTTGAAGTCTCCTACTATTACAGAACTGTGCATTTCTCCCTTAATAATGTAAATATTTGCCTCAATATATTTGATCTTTGTTGTTTAGCTCATAAACATTTATAATTGTTAATCTTCTTGATGAATTGACCCTTTTATCGATATATAAAGACCTTTTTTCTCTTGTAACAACTTCTGACCTTATGTCAGTTTTGTTTACAATAACATCATAAAGGTGAAGGTAAGGGGAGGACAGAGTTGTAAAGGATCAGTGCTTTGTGTGCTGTTAAAACTATGATGGTAACGATTCAAAGTAGTTTGTTGTACATTTAGGATGTTAATTGTAATTTCCATAGCAACCAATAAGAAAATAACTAAAACATATTCAAAGAAAGAAATAAGCAGGGAATCAAAATAGTACACAGTAAAAAAAAATATGTATACAAAAGAAGGCAGTATTGAGGGAATTGAGGCATACAAAAAAAGTCACATAGAAACAAATAGCAAAACGACAGAAATTCTTAACAGTAGTCACTTTAAATGTAAATGGATTAAATTAATGGATGGGAAAAAAGAAAACATGCTCCAGCTATATGCTATCTCCAACTATATGCTGTTTTAGCAAGTAAGATGTTTTCATTTTCTTTGATAAATTTATAGAGTGAATCGAACTGGCCTAGATTTACATTCGCAGTGTCTGCTGAACATTTTTTATAGATGAGCAATGTCTAGTTTACAACTGGACAAGATATCAACAATTTTATATTGTATTTAGTTTCATGAAAATCTTTATAAAAATGAAGAAGACAGTTTGACCTCTATTTTTCAATCCAAGAGTGAAGAGCTAGGGGATTTTTTTTTTCTTGTCATGATTTGATGTATCATCTGATATACTCTTGAAAGCAGGATTGGCTCTACACTGTAAGGGGCCAACACATCTGTTATCAGATATCTCCTTTTGTTTGTCCACAGGGCATTTTAGTTGCAACATTTGAGTTTGGAAATGTAACTTTATTCAGTTTTATATATCAGTGAGTAGAAGTATACAATAATACATGTTTATGTTGTCTAATATAATTGGGCAGTCACTATTTTCAACTCAGCATCTGTGTCTTTTGGGAAGACAAAAACCCGTTTATTTATTTAGAAGTACTTGCTTGTCATCCTAGATTTGTTTCAGTCTCCATATGTGCTTTCACATCCCCTTCACCACCATGCCTAAGCCTGAATTCTCTTTTGCATATTGTGCAATTTGCTGTTGTAGTTATTTATCTCCCTAATCCAGGTGTCGATGCATCTTTATATCTGTCATTAAAATAAGAGGCTTTTTTGGTGATGTATGGGTCATGCTGTCGTTGGTATTATAATTGTTTTCATTTTCATTTCTGAACTCTTAGAAAACACGGTCACAATACTTACAATATTAAAAAATAAACTAGCGCTATGTCCGTACAAAGTACAAGTTAATCCACAAAGCCAAAGACTGTAAATGTTTTGGTTTTTTTTAAAGATTTTATTTATTTATTTATTTGAGAGAGACAGAGAGAGAGCACATGAGAGGGGGGAGGGTCGGGAGGGTCAGAGGGAGAAGCAGACTCCCTGCCGAGCAAGGAGCCCCGATGCGGGACTCGATCCAGGGACTCCAGGATCATGACCTGAGCCGAAGGCAGTCGCCTAACCAATTGAGCCACCCAGGCGCCCCCAAAGACTGTAAATGCTTATGAGTGCCATGCATTTAAGTTACATACTTAAGACGCATCACTCGTGAGTGATGCACCGATGGAGAGGTAATTCATTATTGTAAACCTCAATCATGGTCACCAACATCAGAAACGGGGCGGGGGGGGCAGCAATAGTGACTAGGAAAGGCACAAAATCTGTGCCTTATCCACTTGAATTTAAAAAGATGTTGCTCACCGCCTTACTTTTTGAGGCACCTTATAAGTTTCACACTTTACCTCAACTTTGCCCACCCATCTCCTCAAACCCGGACCTTTAAAGTCCAGGCGAAGGATTTCCTGGGACATTCCAGACAGACTTGGACGGTCGGTCACCCTTCCTCCGTCTCCCTTTTCCACTCGTTTCAGTTTTCTCTTTCAGTCTCCCCCCTCCTTCATTCTTCCCCTCGTCTCAGACCTCGTTCTCTCACTCTCAGTCCTCCTTTGTCTCCTCTTTTTCCCTTAGTCTCCGTTCTGTTTCTCAGATTCTCCATTATTTGTGCCTCAGTCTCCTCTTCCCTGTCTCAATTTTCCTTTTTTCATCAGTCGGTCCCTGCAACATATTACTGAAGTTGTAATTTCCCTTAGGCGATTCCTTCTCCTTATTTTTAGCATAATTAGCGGTTTATGACACCTCTCCGCCCCCCTTGAACTCGGCCATCACTTCTGCCCCTCGGTCCCACAGTGGAATCCTCCGGTATAGGGTTGTACCATTACCAGCACTTTTAAGTAGAATCCCTTACAAAAGGATTGCACCATTCCAAAGTCCTTTTTCCCCAGTAAAGGACTGTACTACTGCAACTTCTTCCCCAATCCTCCTGCAAAAGCTCTCTGCAAAACTTCGCACCTCTTTGGTTTGTATAATCCTCCTTTCCTTCATCTTGCCTCCTCCCCTCTCTGCCGCGGTGGCACGTCCAAATTCAGGTTAGGAATAAACCAAATTCCTCCGCGTGTACGGACCTGACTGGACTCTCAATATGGCGGCTCCTACAAAGAGACACAGTGCCTGGGAGCCGCCATCTTGCCTCCTGAACAAAGCCGCCGAGGGTGCCGAGTGGGCCAAACCGCTCTGTACGGCTCGGCGCATGCTCGGGAGCCCCGTGCTGTGCTCTCCCAGCCAGGAAGCGGGCGAGTTCTTCAATTCACGTTAATCTGTGACAGCTGTCGGGGGTTATGCTGGGACGGACGTTTCGGGACCTGATAATCGAGCTGGGGGTCAGAAGGGGAATTTATGGGTTAAGTCATGAGGAAGTCTGGCATTGATATTGGGGCGGGGGTCTGCGAGGGTCAGTAATTGGAGGTCTATGAAGACTGATGGGAAGTCTGTGGGATGAATGTTGGGTACGTACAGGGGTCAGTAGTAGGGAGAGCTATATGATCTGTGGGTCAGGGATGGCAGGTCTGTGCGCTGTTGGAGCATCCGTGTGGCCAGTGATTTGTGGACCTGTATGGCCAGTCGTGTGATCGGGGTTCTGTGGAGGTGCTCTTTGGGATTTGTGATTTCTGCACCTGGTGATTCAGTGATTTGTAGGGGGGTTTTAATGCAGCCAGGGACTGATAAAGGTCAGCTCTAGTTTAGTGGAAAGGCCTCACTTTACAATTTCTGCAGGTCAGAGGCCGCCCCCAAGTTGAAGCCCCTCCTCAGATGTTTTCTCAAACCTCCATCTCCCTCCACCACTCACGTCCTCACAGAAGAAAACATCCTTTGAACGTAAGACCAAACAAATCTGACGAATAACATTATTATTGTCAATTCTCCCTAGCCAAAGACCACCAGGAACACCCTGAGTTGAATAAGTTGGGTATATGGCTCTAGCATCTAGTTGGGAACATGCACACCATGGGGAAAGTGAGGGCTTCTAGTAAGAGGGTGTTAGAACTTACAGGATTTCTCCTTGTGTTAGGTGATTTTGAGGCGGGCCTAACGGGGTGGACCTTGCTCTGAATTGGATGTTGTGAGGAAGTGGGGTAATTCAGTGATGGGGGATTTCAGTAAATCTAGAGTGAGGAGACTACCCTGAAGCTAAAGCTGTAATAGGTAAGGAAGTCGCAGTCGCTCATGTTAACTCAGAGAGGGGGTGTTTTGTGGATTGGACAATGTTGATGTTTTGTCTGTGTTCAGACATGATTTCAGAGAGGTCCTGTTTTTGTCTTATTCTGTCATGGTCACAGAGTGGCCTTGTCTGATGTTGATGTTCTATGTAATTATGTTAAATAGGAGAATTTGAGTGCCAGGGCAGCTCTGAAATGTGAGGGCTGCTTTTTTTTTTTTTTTCTTAATGTGAGGTGTGATTTCAGTCCCCCGTCTTCCTGTTTACTGAAATTGTTCTACATCCTGTTCAGCAAACATTTATTAAACACCTGCTTTTTACTTGTTTCAGAGCTCCGTGTCCAGAGAGGAGCATGCCTATTCGATTGTTTCCTTCCAGGTTTATTTTGACAAAGCCTGGGATAACCCCATAGGAAACAGTCTACCTTTCATGGGAGTACTCATTTCTGTGAGTGAGTGCAGGCTTCTCTGCGTGACCCATCCTGGGACTGAGAAGAATTTACCAGGTATGTATCTTTACGCATTGTAGTATATTCCTGTTTATCAATGGTTCTAACATGACACTCTATATTCTTATATAGACAACTGCACTATTGAATATCAGCAATACAAACAAACAAAAAACATGTTAAAATTAACAAAATCAACAGTTTTAATTTATGAATATTGACTTGGCAAGAGAATTTGCTGAGTTAGGGGAAAATATAAAAGAGCTCTTAGGATTTTGCCGGCTGCTTATGTCTAGGGAATATGGGTGCATTCTCGATTTTCTACTTGGTCATTCCTATTCTTTTTGTCAGGGAACTGCTCCATCTGCAGTTAAATCTTACATATATATGTATACATAATTATTGTCTTATGATAGAGTCTTACAGATAGAATTACAAATAGAATTGCTGGTTCAAAGGGGAACAATAAGGTGTTCGTATATCAACAGAAATATCTGCATTCATCCAATTAAAAATACACCTTGTACAAGTTCTATGTGATTATATAGTCACAAGAGGACTTTTTTCACGTGGTGCTTACAGACCCTTCTATAAGGATCAAATGACCTTCTACAGGGTGGCCTGTTTTCCTCTTGGTGGTTGTTTCTAGATTGGTAAATGGCTCCTGGAGATTTAGTCTGTCTTTCAGTCCTGATTCCTCAGACCTCTGCTCTTTTGGAAGAGAAGCAGAAAATGACCAAGTCTCACGTGAGTTGCTTGCTTATTTTGTACTTGGTTTCCATATAATCAAATGGAAAAGTGCAGAAAGCTAGAAATTAGAATTAGGGAAAATGTAGAGCGAACAAAGACTTGGAGACGAGTTGCTATGTAATATGTAGATTATGTGGTTTTAAGCCACATAAAACAACTATTATAGTTCATATATATATTTGTTATGTAAATTTTATATAAATATAATGTACATTATATTTACTTTATGTGAGTGTGTAAATTAAAGTGCAGATTTGAAAAAAAATAAAGCGCAAATTTGTTCGATCTTTTCTAGCAGCCACAGGGGGGAGGTAGAGGACATCATATACATAATTTGGCATTCTCCACAAATAGAAATCAACTGAATTTTCAATGAAAATATTTCTTGACATTAGGACAAAAAGAAATTCATTTTGGGGGATCTTCTATAGATGATATCTTGACCTATACTTCTGCATAAATGTGTCAGATTTTTTGTGGTTGTGTCTTTAAATATTTTTTTTTAGAAGGCAGTTAGCATAATGTTAGAGCTGAAGTCCATAAGCATTATTCTTTGGGGAACTAAAGTATAGTTTATCCAGAGATAAAACCTAGATAAGATGGAGTGATGAGTATCTGTTTGTCTCCAAAGTAATTATTTCTCTCAGATAGGCAGTTCTTTACTTAAAATTCAGTGGCAAACACTTGGGAGCACAGGGGTCTCTGATTCTCCATAGCCTTTGCTATGGTCTCAGAGTTTGTGAGGCAACTCCCCAACTGAATGCCAGTTTTGGGTCCATTTTTTTCAATTTATAAAATCATTTTACTATTTTTTGTCCTGGCCTGAATTATTTTAAACATTTTAAAAAACATAAAAAAATAAAATAAAAATTATAAAGTGAAAGGGACCCTAACATTCCCTTTCTCCTGGGATAACCAGTATTAATAATTTGTGATACTTAGATTTTTCTCCATCTGGAAATTATTGATTCTCTTGTTTTTAAAACATAAAGTCTCAACTTTATTATTTAACTGATTGACTATCCAGTTTTCCCAAAACCATTTGTTGAATAATTCATTTATTTGAAATGCTGCCTTTATTGAATTCCCATTTGTGATTAAGTCTCTTTTGCTCTTCTGTTCTTTTGACGTGTTTGACTCTTTTTGCTAAAGACAGAATTTTACATCATTTTTCTGAATAGGCATGATGTAGAACTGGGCATATGGTTTGGCATGCTATGGTAAAAATAAGACTGATCACTTCAGATTGAACAGGAGCATGCTGTTATAGGGTCCATTGTCATTTGAGGATGTGGCCATAGCTTTCACCAAGGAGGAGTGGCAGCAACTGGACCCTGCTCAGAGGACCCTGTACAGAGATGTGATGCTGGAGAACTTCAGCCACCTGGTCTCATTGGGTAAGGATGGCTTCCCCCCATATCACAACATCTTCCAATCCAGTGCCTCTCTCTTCTCCTTTGATCAAGTTGCGTGGGTTCCTGACATATGTAATGACTGACTTTGTGCTCTCTTTTCTCTCTCCAGCAGAAGGTCAGCTGGACAGCTTTATTGTGGGGCTCCTAAAATAGCACCCCCTTTTTTTTTTAAGTAGGGCTTGACTCACGACCCCGAGATCAAGAGCTGAGCTGAGATCAAGAGTCAGACACTTGACCGACTGAGCCACCCAGGTGCCTTTCTTTTTTCTTCAGTGTAGTCAACCCAATTCCTCTCTGATTTCTCTATAATAGGGCATCCAGTGTCCAAACCAGATGTCATCTCCAAGTTGGAACAAGGAGAAGAACCATGGATCATAAAGAGAGACATATCAAATTGGATCTGTCCCGGTAAAAATCTGGCAGGTGGGAGCCAAGGGAAGTGAAATCTCAGTTTCTTTGTTTTTGTTTTTAATTGGCTGGTGGCTGAGATTTATGCTTCCACCCAGATTGGCAGCTCCTATTCCTTCTTGCTCCTGTGCTGAACATGTAGTAAGTATTCAACAACTTGTTAATTAGGTAATAGTGAGCCATGAAGAGAAGAAAAATTTCTTACTGATTCACTCATATCTTGGTAGATATGATTCAGAATCATATCTTTAGTGCCTTTCTAGAAGAAATTCAAAGGCAATAAAAGTCAGATGCTTTTCAGAACCATAGGTTGTACATGGAAAGACAAGGCATCAAAGTTCATGGCTGTATAAAATTGCACAACCAATATAGTTAATGTTTTAGGAGTTCACTGAAAATTACAGTCTAAAGAGACGTGGCATAACTTAAGAAGGTGTTTTTTCCAAGCATGAACCAGCTACTCTGAAGTATATTTGAAGTGTGGGTTAGGCAGGAGGAGGGTGAAGGCAAGCTCTAGCAATGGATGTGTACAGATTTTTGGAGTTAGGAATCATTATGGCTTTTCTGCAGAAATTTGCTAGGCTTGCCTTCATAAAATATATTTTTGGGGGAATAATGGGATATAAGCATGAATACACAGTGTGACTATGGACAGTAAAGTGCATACTGTACCTATACTCTGAAATTTTCTGGTATTATTGTATTTAAACAACTTCGAGGTATAACTCACATGCTTTACAATTCACCCATTCAAAGTTAACAATTCAGTGGTTTTTTATAGTGTATTCACAGATATGTATAACGATTCCCACAGTCAATTTTAAAACATTTTTATCACCTACGAAAGAAATCCTGTACCCTTTAGCTATCACACCCCTGTTACTCATCTCCCAGCCCTAAGCAACCACTAATCTGCTTTCACTCTCTATTGATTTGCTTACTCTTGATCTTTTATTTAAACGAAATCATATAACATGAGGTCTTTTGTGACTGGCTTCTTTCGGTTAGCACACTGTTTTTGAGGGCCATCCACCTTATAACGTGTATCAGTCCTTCGATTCTTTTTGGCTGAATAATATTCCATTGTATGGATATACTACATTTGGCTGTCCATTCATCAGTATTTGGCTTGTTTCCACTTTTTCGCAACATGAATAATGCTACTATAAACATTCATATACAAGTTTTTGTGTAAGACCTATGTTTTATTTTTTCTTTGGTATGTACCTAGGAGTGGAATTGCTGGGTCATATAGGAATTTTGTGTTTAACTAAAATGGTCCCTAATGACTAATTATGTTGAGCATATTTTCATCTGCTTGTTGGCCATTATGTATCTTCTTCGGAAAATAATTTGTTGAGATCATTTGTCTATTTTGAGTTGTCTTTTTATTATTGAATTGTAAGAATTCTTTATAGAGATAAAATTCTTATACAGAAGTTATATGGAACTTTTATGTAAAGTTCTTTGTATAGGTAAGGTGTTTTTTATAGAGTTCTTTTGTTCGCTGGTACTAATTTTATTATTAATTAGGACAGGCTGGATAACACTATATTACAAATTAACCTCTAAATGCCAGTGCTTTAACACAACAATGTTTTCTTTTTTTTTTTTTTAAAGATTTTATTTATTTATTCATGAGAGACAGGGAGAGAGAGAGAGAGAGGCAGAGGAAGAAGCAGGCTCCCTGCTGAGCAGGGAGCCGGATGCGGGACTTGATCCCAGGACCCTGGGATCAGGACCTGAGCTGAAAGCAGACGCTTAACCGTCTGAGCCACCCAGGCGCCCAACAATGTTTGTTTTCTTTACATGTTGCATATCCAACACAGTTCAGCAGGGGGCATGCTCCACATGGTACCTCAGG